CGTCGCCGATGGGGAAGGACGCACGATGAGGGTGCGATGGAGGCAGTCTGAGAATGGAGGAGTGAGTGAGATGGAGTCTGAGCATGGAGGAGCGAGCATGGAGGAGCGATGGAGGGTAGATTAGTAAAAAAAAAGTCTGTTCCACTTAGTTCCAGGGGTAGAAGGTGAACACCCGTGTCCCATGTGTGTGCAAGTTAGTTCCAGTTAGTTCCACTTAAAAACACACCAAACGTGGGACAAGTGTGTCCTGTCCTGTCCTGTTCCACCCTGTTCCACGTACCAAACGCACCCTTAGTAAACATTCCATAAATTGTTCATATACAGGTATCAGGTCATCAAATGTTAGAAGATCAGCATGTTACCGGTCAAAATGTGCATAAAACATGAAATTCTAAAACTTTGTTATATCAATTGAAAAAAAGAAAATCTTCATACACTTGGGAACTAAACCAAACTTTGTTGCACCAGCCAGGAAGCGACTTAACTCCATAACGCAATCTAACATCAATTTATTAATCGTAAATTTTGATTTGCAAAACACAATGTGAATCAAATTGTACAAATTAAAACTAGAAATGGCTAAGAAGATTAGCAGAAGTATACGTAAATCATAAAAGCATCACAAGTCAAGAGTGCTTACAAGGTAAATAGCAGAGAAGAATGCAACAGTTACAAGAACCAGTGACCAAAATGCCAAGAAGAGAAGAACGTTCTTTGAAGCCATAGCAAGAGTTCAGCATGTGGAATCAAACCCTGACATACAGAAAAGAAGTGTAAGTTCCATACTCTTGTAAATAACAAAAAGAACAAAATGAGACCCAGAAAATAACTGCATTTAGTTAGAAAGAGCACAGGATGAAGAATGGTACCATTGCTTTATTCACAAAACAGTCGATGATATAATAAAGAATGGTGGCACTTCGGTGTAGTTTGTTTTTTAAGAGGTACTGAAGTTGAAGTCTTATGTCACATATTGATAAGAGGTGGTGCTGAAGTCTGAATGCATAATCAGTAAGACTGTTTTTATAAACCGATAAATGTTTGAATGTATGTTTATGAAAAATATTTATTTCAGGATACATATACTTTAAAAATGCTAGTAATGATCTAGTCATTTAAATATAAGTTCTTAAAATTATATATCTTTGAACATGTTTTTTGAAATTACGTTTCTTAAAAAAATAATTAAATAAAAGTACGTAACTTGCAGTTTATCTTTATTTTTATATAAATAAGAATTCCATTATCTGAAAATAAATAATAATAAAATGGAAAATATCAATTGCCTTTAATTGCCAATAAGAGTATGTTAAGAGGTGATTTAACCTCTTGTCCAGTAAGAGGAAGGTAACAGGTTTTAAGTTCTTATCACAAAAAAAAAGTCGTAAGGTCTAACCTCTTATCCGGTAAGACATAAGTGTTGAATAGAAGTTCTTTTCGAAAAACAACACCACCTTCTTATATTGGTCAAATGTGGATTCAAGAATGTATGCGTCTAACGGATACTCTCAAAGCAATGTGATGATAAATTGATAATCACGTATATCAACTAGATTAAAGGATATTATAAATTAGTTGGTATGTTCAATGTACATAATACAATAATCAATCTAAGAAGAAAAAGAAGGAAAGTTAGTTAATGCCTAAACAAGGTATCACGGGCACTTTATCAAACACCTAATTTCCACATTAAATTATCACATACAATCTTTTTCAAGTTGAAAAATAACATCCAGACCAATCAATTATCCACACATGGAAAATGCAGAACATACATATGACAACCCAGTTCAACTAACTTCAAATCAATCAATTAAAAACACAGAAATTGAAATTAGTTGTTTACTTGATATAGAGAAAGGAAAAAGTGGAAGTGAACATCTACGGTTTAAATCTTCTCATCAAGTTTCTAATGGTTGCTGCCTAATCAAGCATGGCAATCACAAAGAAGCGATGAACAGACTCTTAAAAAATGAAGTAGTTCGTCTATTTATTGGACCAATAAGGCAAACATAAATTAAGATAGAGAAAAGGAGCAAGAAAGACTTGAATCAGAAAATCAGATACAGAGATGAGTTGCAATTAAAGTACCTGGTTAGATTTCCTGGCTGTCTTTGAGTGATGAAATCAAAGAAAATGGAGGAGCAGGTCTGGAGAAGATGGAAGATGAAGAGGGATATTTCATCTAGATGGATGAAATAAAATAAGTCATATTTGAAGATGTTGAAGAACAGAGATGCCGGAGAGAAAATGGAATGCAAACGATATAATTTTGGAAAAGGAAGGTGCTAAATGGATTAGGCAGTGGCGTCATATCTGTCCATCCTATGCCACTTAATTGTTAAGAGACTTTTTTTTAACAAAGAGCGCCCGCATCAGACCAAATTAGATGTGGGTCTCATTAAACGCATTAAGAGGTCACCAAAACCTCCTAATAGCTCTACAGGATTTTGGTTGTTTGAGATAGAATTAGAACAATGCATCACATATGCATGGATAGATCAACTGCACTAGCACCCCCCATTTATAATGTTTGAACTTTACCACCTTCCATAAGGAAAATCAAATTTTAGTAGGTGTACATAACTTACAGTGTCTATCAATGCTCATGAACCCAAAAAAACTAAACCAGACCAGAAGAGGTTATCAGTCACAGTTTATTGCAACACCCTTGTCAAAGTTTCCAGTTCTCTCCTTCATGCATAAATTCCAGATTGATATGGTAGCAACTCCTACAGAAGATCTCAGTGGAAGTCCTCCATAAAAAAATGGTAATCGAGTTCACAAGTGTTCTACAGCAATCAGTAGACCATTTAGCGATCACAGTGCACCATAGACAAACCTAAATATTCTTGATGATGATCAAGAATGGTGCATTTGATAATTTTTGGTGAAGTACTAGACTTAGACAACAGTAATGTAATAGATAAGAGCAATGCAAGACATTCTTACGGTTACATGTACCTAATTCGTATAAGAAAAATATATAAAAAGCATGTAAATAATAGTGGGAGAAATATTTATCTAGCCCCTGTTAGCTCTAGACTACGATGCGATACGATTTGGCACATCTTCGATTTCCTGGTATGAAAGTAAAGTCGTTAGGCATGGTTTTCTTTGAGTTCAAGATATTATTATTCGGCATAAGCCGTCTTTGCTTTTTCTCTTATCAATGTAATCCTTGTCTTTTAGCCAACCGAAGGGAGGCTTGTATGCTAAGACCAAGGCTTAGGAGGTCTCTCTGTCCTCGCAGTGAGCGATGCCCGGGTGGGTATCGCGAATTTATAACCCAAAATTTGTGTGGCAGCAACTGCTCAAATAATCCAATTTTTTGCACAGTTGGTGCAATTACCCCAGTATTGGCTTTTGGATAAAATTTAAATGTTTCCACTGCCTTAGCCTTATTGATTTAATGTAATTAACTTCGTTTTGAGCTGAGCAAAGATCTGAATAATGGCAAATTATCACAAAAGTTAACTTTGCAATGAAAATAGGTTGTGGGCAAACTATGAGTAATTGGAGTACAACAGCCATGTTGTTAAAATTTATTGTGAAGTGGCCAAGTCATAGGAGGGGTCAAACATATAATTTTTTACGATAATATGTGAAGAATATTGGAGTTACCAGAAAAATGTAAAGCCCAAAGTTGTTAAAGGCTCAAGGTGCACTTAGGCGCAAAGGGGTCCTGGGGCCTAGGCACGAGGAGCAGGCGTAAGGCGCGGGTCTCAGGAATGCGAGGGGCGTCTTATCAATATATATATAGACACACACAGACTCACATACACAGTTATACACAACAAGTCTCCAATTCAACAACCAACAGTACTTCGATAGAGATAGAAGGGTTTAAAGCGTGAGCTGTGAAGAAGTTTTAAGGTCTGGGTGTTTATAGAGAAGGCTTGAAGTTCTAAGGACTTATTATTTTATATTAGGGTTTGACTTGGTCATCTACTTAATATCACTTTTTGTAAGAAATCTAGGAGATGAGAAGATGAGAAAACTTATTTAATCTTAGGCTTTAATTAGGTATTTAATAACTCTTTATGAGGCGCACCTAGGCCAACAAGGCGCCTCAGCTAAAGCATAGTGCCTTAGTGAGCCTCGTGAATATGCTAAGCCTCGACTTAAAAAAATCCCAAGACCATGAGCCTTATGAGCCTAGAGGCGCGCTTTTAACAACTATTGTAAAGCCACATCTGACCAGTATAAGAAAGGTCCACCCTTTAATATATCATCTAAGGTGCTTTGTTAATACAACAATGGTACAATACTTCAGTGAATCAAATATCTTATCATATCTTGATGGAAATATTAGTAATTGAAGATCTATGGCAATTGCTACAAGAACGCTACAAAAAGATACAAATCCCCAAGCCTGCTTCTTAAAAAGCATTTGAAGCTATGTCCTAGGTGTTTTAGTCATCCATCGTTCTAATGTTACAAAGCAGCACAAAATAATATAATATCCAAGTTATATATGAAAATGACTAATGTCTTTATTATTGTATTCTCTGATAAGCATATCACATCTGAAGGGGAAAGGAAGTGTACATGGAATTCAAGCTAAAGGCTTAATATGAATAAATTGTGGGCATCAAAATTAAAGTCTATGTAGCTTAAATATATTGCACCTGTTTCTGCAAGCATATAACTCTCTGATCATATTTAAAGCAATACTTTGGTAGCCTCACTTGGAACAAACCCTCTTCGTAACATCTCCTCCAGCCACACCTTAGCATCAGTTTTCCTACCATGCTTGAAAAATCCATGCACCAGAGTTTCATAGGTCCACTGATTGGGCTCATGCCCTTCTCGACATATCTTCTGAAACAACAGAGAAGCATCATCTACTTGTTTCATGCTTAGTTTTCTTAGAAGCATATTGTAAGTGTATATATCAAGTGGGAAGCAGTTTCCCACTACTTTTTCCAAGTCATTAGGATCTATGTCATTTCTATAATGGTTGGAAAACAAATCAACTAGCTCCATAAGTTTCCAAATAGGAGATATCTCATCAGGAGACCTTGAGTCCACCCAAGTGTTATATAGCTCCCGATGCTTCAATGAATGCAAAAGCAAGTTGTTACCAATAAAGGATGACAGAGGACGGCCAACTTCAATCAAGTCATCAATAAGATTCATGACCTTGTCATATCGCTTATATCTGCACAATGCATAAATAAGTTCCTCATAGCATTCAAGACTTGGTCTTATGGCCTTCTCCTTTTCTCTAATTTCTGAAAAGATGCTTAATGCAATGTCTGGTTTATTTGCTTTGCAAAGACCAGTAACCATAACATTGCATACTTTTCTTCCTATCTTTCTTCTCTTTAGGTTATCATAGAAAATATGTAGAGCATCAGATACTTTTTCGCTCCTTAGATAACTCTTCAACATTAGAATATCAGAACTAACATTAGGAGAAATTCCACTTCTCTTCATCATCTCATATACTTCTCTTGCCAGGTCAGGTTTCTTGGCAAGGCCAGCTCCTTCAATGAAAATGTTGAAAACACCAGAATCAAGTTCATGAAGAGATAACTGCATTTCCAACAACATTTGCAATTGCTTCTCTGGATTTTCCATCTCACATACACTCTGAATGACTGCCCTGAACAATAGACGGGTTGGGGTGTGACCTTTTTCTTGCATTTCAATCAGTAGTCTAGCAGCAATGTCTCCCCTTTTTGACTTGATAAACCCRWTTATCATRTTWCTATAAGYAYGTCTAGTTGTAACTTTSTGGAGCTTGTTGAGCTCCCSRTGTATGAAATAACCATCCTCAACTCTCCCAGTCCTGCAAAGGGCCATGATATAATTTTCATGAATTGAATCTGTCAGTACAACATTTTTCTCTAAGGCTATAAGAAACAACTCATTCATCATGTCAAGCTTTTCCAGCTGGCATAAAGCGTTAGCAAGGATAGAAAAGGTCGTYTTWCCAGGRAAATACCCTTSCTYAATTARATTCTTGAAAATACGATATGCATCAACAACACTTCCATCCCCACACAGGGTGTTCAWAAGATAATTAAAAGCCATGCTACTCGGTGATAACCCAAGCTCCCCTCTTGAATCATATAATTTGAGAGCAACATCAACCATCCCTGCCTTGCAAAAGAAGCACAAAACAATATTCATAGTCAGCTCATCAGGGGGTATATTGTTTTCCCTCATCTCAATTACCAAATCACACACTTCTTCAAGTCTGTTCTCTCTCAAGAGCCTCATTATCAAGGTGTTATAACGGAAAACATCTGGGACATAGTGAACGACCAACTCCTGGTTCCTTGTCTTTTGCATGAACTCCATAGCTCCATCTAGTTTCCTAGCCCGTAGAAGCTCTCTAATCCATATATCATAGACATAGAATTCCCCAAACTCATCCACCAATTTCCCAGCCTTATCAAATTGATCATTTTTGCATAACCCATCCACAAGAGCACCAACCATATGCCCACCACTCTTTATTTTGACCCCACTATCCATCACCCCACGAAGATATGTTTCCGCTCTATCAAACTCCTTTTTCCTGCAGAAAGCCTTGACCAATATAGAGTAAGTGACCTCTGATTCAAATCCTCGACTCTTAATCTGTCTTGCAACTGACTCAACTCCATTAAAATCATCCTCCTCTACCAAAGCATTCAAGAGTACATGATAAGAAAAATAATCTAAATCAATGCCCTGGTATCGCATTCGGCCGAACAATTGGAGCGCGATTTCTGGTTTTCCTGCCACAGCATAACCCATCACTAAAATGGCATGAAAATTGGTCTTGTGACCACCACAATGCTTAGCATAGTTATCTAGATAATCCAACATCAAAGACATTAACTTTGCCCTCGAAAGTATCTTAAAGATCGCATTGAATGTAGCCCGAGTATGGTGAAACCCTGGTTGCCTCCCTGCCCAATCAAAGAACTTCAAGCAAGACAACACATCTTTCCCGTAGGACAACACATCGAGAACGAATGATTCGGTAAGATGAAGATTCAACCGTGACAGCGACACATCTACGGCTTCACGTGACGACACAAAATCTTCTTTCTCACCAATGCCTCTACTGCCACCATCAGAAGATAAGATTTCAAGGACGCGGTCAATAGAAGGGGTCCTACTAGACTTGAACCATTCTCGGAACGTCACCACCACATCCTCTGCCTGTAATTTCCGCACTGGTGAATCAGACAAATATAATGGTTTCAAAAGGACGACATTGGTGGCGGCAGATGCTGCTGTAGTTGAATAGTTGAAGAAGGTATATTTTTTACTGAGAGGAGAAAGGAGAGCCCTAATGGAAGTTTGCTTCAGGTATCTTAATCTTGCCATAAATTGTGAAGTAAAACTTTTGTAAGCTACTGCATCAACATTCAATACTGCCTTACATGCAAGTTGTTATTTCTTGAAGATCTGCAGCCCGAAATTTATTTAGGATTTCTTGTTTTGATGAGTTCCTGGTGAAGATTCAGCAAAAAAGAGTACACAAGAAGCGATGGAGTGAGATTTTTTCATGAGCATCCTAGCCAGTGGAGGATGCACAACCTAATCAATAAACAACAACAAGCAATTGTTGAGCAAGTAAAATTGTAATCATACGATAAATTTTACAATTTATAAAGTAAACTAACAGCACGATAATGGTAGTTCAGTTCTGTTTGTAACCTAAATTTACAACACAACCAACTAAACATAGCAATAATCATTCTGGCTCAAACCCTAGTTGATTAATGATCAACTATAATTGAAAATCATTTACGCAAAGCAATCTAGCCGAAACATATCGAGTTATTCTATGTATTAATGAATTAAAATCCCTAATTTACTTACCTATAAGGAGGCTCGATCTACCAAGCAGACGATCAGAGAGATATCCGCCATGAGTTTTAGGTTTCGCTTATGATTATGCACTACTCCTAAATCCTCCCCTGATTTACCCCTGATCAGAGAGATATCCACGTCTGGAAGAAGAATATGGGATATTGGGATAGAGAGATTTTAGGGATTTTCATAAAAATTTGAAAGACGATTGCCTCCATTTGCAATCGTTTTTCGTTTTTCGTTTTTCGTTTTTGAAATCAGGAATCCATTTTTTTTTAAGGTTTTTAAGTTTTAATTAAGTGGTATTTGGGATTGTTTATAAAAATTTATTGACTTATTTCGATATGGTACTAGTAGTAAGATTTTTTTAGTGTTTGGATAAACAGTGTATATCGATATTAAACCGGTAATAAGAAGTTTTTAAAGAAATTAAATTATTCTAACTTATCATAAGTTGATAAAAACTTTTATGAAAAAATATAAATTGTTTCAAATAAGCAATCCTAAACATCCCTAAATGAAAAACAATTCCAACAACAATCAATTAAAAGAGGCAAATTCAGAAGAAGAAAAAAAATCTGACATATTTTAAAATATCAAAAAATAATTAGATTTTAAAAAATATGTAGAAATTGTAATAAGTTTGATGTTTAAGCAAATTACTAAAACTTATTTTTAGGGTAAATAATCAAATAAAAGGAATCTAGAAAATCTTACTTAAAAGTAAGGTCGGTTATGAGGTTTTTCATTAGGCGAAAAACCTAAAAAAATCTCTCCAACGTAAAAAACAGACAAAACACGTTATTTCTAAAGGACCAAGGATTATCAGTGAATCGTGAGTTTTCAAACGAAAGAAACCACACTGGTCACCACTCACCATAGTCCACTTACTGGTCATTTTTCAAATGTCAGCATTTTCGATCAACACAAATATGCAGTAAATTATTAGATATGTGGAAAAATTAGTGATTTACAGAACTGCAAATGTAGCTTGTACATTAATGCACATGAGGAAACTAAAGATTATTTAAGAAATATTTTAGGAATACATCAGACAACTTGATGTGTAAGTTAAAAATCTAGAAAACATGTTTAACATTATATAGGAATTAGTGTTTATGAAATCAATTTGACAAACAGCTCAGGAGGTAAGAAGCCACTAGATTTATCTAATTGACAATATTATATACTCATTAGACGAAACTAAAACAACATGATTACTAATAGATAATAAATGATGCAACTAATAGATTATGTCAATATGCTATGAAAGAGATATGGTTGATTATGTTCATAACTTTGTTTCGTGTACAAAGTAATAGTTAATGCTTTAAGCAACATGTGCAACACTCGATTCTAAAAATTAGGGTATGGTTAAATTATCATGAACCCTGAATCCCTAACTGATGGATCAAGTAAAGTTGCTTCAAATGGTAGTGTAAAAGTATGAATAAGATTTCCCAGAGATCTAAAGAGATTCTGCATAATACAAGTCTAAGTCTAGAAATGACTTTCCAAAGTTCGGGTGATATGAAGATTTTTCTAAGGCATAAGTCTTTTAGACTTAGAGCCTTCCAGACTTCAAAGAAGACTAACTCTCGATGTAATATCTAGAGTTAAATAATTAGAAGATTGCGAGCATATAACTTCTCAAAGTCAAAGACTTCCTGTACATAAGGATGCTATAACACGTGTCAAATTGTAATAGGCTTGTCTTTTACATCTTGTAACTATAACATTTATGTTCTAGTATATATAGAAGTTAGTTAGAAGTTAATAAGAACTTGTTAGATATGCATTTACACATTCTTACACACAAATTGTAAACATTTCTCTCAAGATACATTTGTACTCACATTGTTCATAATCAATACACATGATGACTTCATTGATCCAATACTGTTCTTAATCATTTTATCTATATTCTTCACATTCTTGATTGTAATTCAGTTTATGGGATTAACAATTGATCTTGATTCTTTCTTATTGGATTGATCAATTTGAATTCTATATTTTGTTTCTTGATTACCTTTTTAAATCTACATTCTCGAGTGTTACTTTTGCCCCAAGGGTTGGATATGGAAGCGTTTTTGCCAGATCCTGTGGGGGGATGCCACGTGGCCTGACAGTTGTCGTCTACTACGTGCGTCCCGCCTCCCTTATTTGAAAAATTAAGGATACAGGTCTGTTGCTTACCAAGGGTGACCCTCCATTTATATTCTTATTTTAATAAAAGCCTTTAAAAAAAATAAGAACAAGTGTTTTTCAACCAGAGTTCTTGATAAGAGTGAAAATACCTCTTGGTTGAATTTAACACTTAAGAGGAACGAGAAAATCTCCACATTCTGGTTCATAGAGAAAGAGACACCAAGTTTCTTGGGACAGAAACTCTAAATTGATTCCTTATTTTGGAAATTGTATAAATCACAACAAAAATCCCATAGGTGCTATGTGCATATTTTCAACAAAAAAAAACAAAGTGACAAAAATTGAAAAAGTTGAATGTTGCAGCATGAAAAAGAAAAAAGGCTAAGAGAGAAAAAAAATGCCAATGGGGTGACCTTACAAGCCCTATTTTGATCCTAAAAAAAGATTGTGTTGAGTTTAACAAAGAGAAGGTAATGCTAGTTTATGGTTCATACAAATAACTTACTTTTGATTACTCACTAAAGGTTTATGAAAAGCTTTGAACTTCATATTTGGTATACTCTATATTGTGTGTGCACTTAATGCCATAAAACCATGCATATCTTTCCAAATTGAGTCATTTTTTTTGTCTTCTGGTTGCTTAGGGACAAACAACGCTTTATGTTTGGGGGTGTGATGTACATTGAGAATTTAATGTCATTTTATAGTTTTTAGCTAGTTTATTTTCCTTTTATCCCAATCTTGAGTCATTTTATTACTTTATTTTCATCTTATTTATTATGGAGCTAAATGATTTACTTGTCTTTTGCACCATCAGAAGACTAATATGAAGAAAAAAAATAAAGGACTGTTTGGTGCTATAGCATTCCTGCAGCATGGATCTGGTAGTTTTCGATTTTTTGAAGGGCTTATTGAGCTAAGTTGCTGAACACTTTTTTGTTTCCAGAAGTCCATGAATTGAAGAATTTTTTGGGAGATTCGAATATGCTAAACTCTTGTTAAGATTTTGTAATAATCTAGTTACTTTAAATATTCTTTATGTTGACTTTTAATTACTTTGGCCCCAAGTTTGACTTTTTGTACCCTGTTTTTGTATAAATAGGGAGATTGGGTCTTACTGTTTTATCATCCAAAAATCAGTTCTAAACTTATTTCTTTCTAAAATTTGAAGCAATTTTAATATTAAGTCTCGTAATTACTTTCAAGTTTGTTCTTTACTTTTCGTTATTTACTTTCAAGTCATTTACTTTTTGCTCTTTACATTCAGCCATTTACTTTCTGTAATTTATATATAAGTCTTTACTTTCTGTTATTTAGTTTCCTTGTCATTTACTTTCCGTAACGAGTAGCTAACTTCATAGCTTGGGTGTGAGACAAAGGATGAGATTTTAAATCGAAGGAAAGTGAACGTTGTTTTGCAATAACAATGTTCCACTATTTTCTTCAAGTTTTATAAAAACCAACTAAACTTCTTGACAAGTTGATCACTTTGAAAGTGTTAAAGTGTCATGGTCTTAGACATAATCTATTGAATGCACGTCAACTTGAATAACATGACAAAGACTTGAGAAAGTTGCCGACAAGGAGACTTGTCATTTATATCTTTCAAACTAACTAACTCTCGACAGGTTGGTCACTTGTTAAAGTGTTAAAGTACAGTAGATTCATAGATGAACTACTTAGAACATACGCCAACTTGAATGATATGTGAATATGCTTGAAAGAGTGATTTTAAACAAATAGATTGTTTATCCATATATTTTGAGGACACCGTTTGTCACTATCCCTAGTTCTGATACCACATAGAGAAATGAGTTAAAAGCTATAATATGTTGCAATGGTGGAAGTCCAAGAAAAATACCCTCAAAATAAATGGTGGACCTAGTTATGGCCGCATGCTTGCTGTAGCATCTCTACAACATTGTCTACTGAAATTTTTGTTTATGTCTCACCACAAGTCTCACACCCATGCTACATTTATTTATTCTACTATTTGCAATTGTTAACTCAACAACCAATCAAAGTTTTCAAATTATTCATCTGAAGTTAGTCTTCCAACTCGATATCTTGCAACTTAAGATATCTATCCCTGTGGAATACATACTTGGTTCTTACTATTTTATTACTTGAAGGCGATAGTGTTGACATGTGTTTACTTGCTTGTGTCACCACTTAGTATTATAGATATACAATATCTAGATCCTATCAATTGCTGAAGATTCCTTTGGTATGAGTTTTATCTTCTTGAAGAATACTTGTTCTTTGGAGAAGTTTATAATACATGTTCAACAATCACTTAACAGACTCAATGATGATCGTTGAAACTGAACAAAAACATAACCAAATATTTTTTACTAAGTATAAAGAATCATCATTAAACCACTGAGAGGATTTGGATCAACAACTAGGACCATTCCGACTTTGGGTTGGAGTTGCGGTCTCCCTCGATTGTATTATTTTCACGACCATCAGCATTCGTTGACCTTGTCACCCTCTTCGACACATAATAATGAACATTTTGACCTTTAACATACTTATGCACACTATTTTACTCTTATTTTTCTCTTACGCATAAAAAGTAAAACCTTATATATTTTACTTTTTTGCTCAATGGTTGGGACTTGTTCCCTTTAACGTCAAAATTGGATCAATTCATGCATAAAAAATTTAAAAAATGACTTTTGATGTTGATGTATCGAAAAATAAAATTACTAGGTACAAATGCATTTGACAATGTAGAGGGATACAATTAGACGACCCCATATTAAAGGTGCATGTTGAAAATTTTATAAGATAATTTATGGGATCAGAAAAAATAGGTTTCTTGAGCACTTCTATCGATCGGTTGAAATCAACATAATTAAAATTCAATGAGGAATAAAAATCCCTTTGTGGCCACGGAGGTTTAAATGCAGTGACTTCGGGCTATCTGCAAAGCAGGTGGTCGCCCTGAGATTAGTCGGCTCGTATAGCGTGTTGGATATCCAGGTTAATAAAAAAACACATGTTTTAAAATGAAACAAAAA